GGTGGCGCGGAGCGGTCGTTCCCGCGCTGGAGGCGGCTCCTGGAGGCGCCGTCCGTTCCCGTTCGCGTTCCCGGCCGTGCGCTCACCCGCCGCCCGTCGCACTCGTCCCCGCACACCGACACGGCGCCCCTCGAACACGTGCGGGTCATTGTAAGGGTCGGGTTTCCCGACGCCGCGAATCCCTGCACAGCGACTGAAGTAAAACCGAATGTTGGTCGTTTAAAAATCCATCGGTTTGTCCTGACCACGGCACTCGGCTCAGTCCTGCCGCAGCCTCCAGCCCTCCAGAATTTCACCATCTGAGGGGAAAACCAGTCCCACGCGCGCCAGGGGCACCCAGGGACATTCCTGGGACTCCGGCTCCTACGACTCCTGGCGAACATTGCTTCTGACAGCAACAAGGACGGTGTTCTGTCCGTCTGCCACAGAGGCCGGGCAGTCCCAGAGCCGTCAGAATGTGGCTTTGGGGTTAATGTTCCTGGCATGGTTTTTTTTCCCCAGATAACCCTTGAGCTGGGAAGGATTAAAAAAGGATGAACTTTTGTTTGTATTTGCAGAACATTCATTTTAGCTTTGTACTAGACAAAGCCACTGTTCATCACTTCCAGAGCAAAAGGAAGTGGAGAGAACCCACCCTAAAATACTAAACTGTGTTTGAAGTTTAATGGTAAATACTGGATATTGGACAAGTCTCGAGCTGTGGGTTTTGTTTTTTATAGTGACTTTACAGTCAGCCAAGGAGATTTCTGTCAACCTCTGCACATAATTCTTCATTAATTAAAACACAGTTGTCTCAGAGTAAAACCATTAATAAGCAAATGCTCCATGAGTGAGCAGCAGCAGTGGAAGCAATCTTTACAGACTTACCTGAAACCCTTCTAATATCTTCCTTTTTTTGTCATTTAATTATTTTCTATTTTCATTCGTTGAAACATTTTTGGCATCCAACTTAGCAATTTTCTATAATAGTATCTTTTCCTATGTAGTATGATTTTTTTCCCTGGGAATTGGATTACAAAAACCATATAAAAAGGATCCGTGCATAGTTTTTTCTTAATAAAAAAGGTTGCTTTTTTAGACATTTTAGTGGTTGTGGAATACTACTATTACTATATCAAAACATAACAAGTCACTCCCCAGTAAATACAGACTTTGAGCTAAAAGAAGAGATCAAATAGGTCCCACGTGTCTGCACTGCTATTCTAGAACAGGATTTCTCTCCCAAGAGTGATTTCAGAGGAGAGAATCCTAAAAAAGGATTGGTCACAAAAATAAATCACCATGTAGTTTTGCCAGAGTTAAGTCAAACATCTCAATTCTTGTCCATCAAAGTAGGAACAAAATTGAAAATCAGGATTTTAGTATACTAAC